TTCAAATGAAGCCGTTGAGACGTAATGGGAGGCCAAATTTAAAATATTTATAAACCAATCGAGTGTCTCGATAAAAGGAATCCAACGATCCCATGATAAATTTGGAGGACATTTAGGCACATAAGTAATATAAAAACCAACCATTTTCAAACCAACCATTTTAATGATGGATCAATATGAACCATCTGATCATATAGTTAGACAAGTTAAGTAAGAAAAGACCAAAACATCCATCTCAAAAGACTATAAATAGGCACCCTCTCTTCTGTTGGAGAGGAGAGGAGAAGATAAGAAGAAGTCAAATTTTAAAGTTTATTATGGAGAGAAAATCCCATGAGTAACCACTAGTCTTCCTAGTCACCAACCACCGTCGATCACTGCCAACCGGTCATAGTCGACCACTGCTGTTCGTCATCGTCTGTCGTTGCCGACAAATGAGAACCACTACTTGCATTTGTTGCAGTTAAAAAATGGCAATTGCGTCCAACATTTTTTTTTGTTGTATAAAAATAATTGCAATTTTCGATGTAAGATTGTAATCCCGTTTGTTATTATTGTGAGAGAAGGGTGCACTTTTATGCTTAAAAATACGGGGAGTTTTCCCTTCTATAATTACTAATTACTTTTACTAAGCATATGTTCTTTTGCTTTAAAGAAGTAGGATATATATATATATATAAATATATATATGATGCATCATGTGAATCTGGAGTTCTTATTTTAGTTTATCTTGTTGTGCTTTATGCATGGTCTAGCTTGTTGATATCAGTATCTTGCTAGCTTGTTGGCTATTGTTCAGCAATTAAGTGTTTGAGTTCATGATTTTATGTAAATTAGGGTTTTGATTCAATGTTCTCATGAGTTTTCTTGTTTAGTATATCATATTTTTTGTACTGTTCTAAAGTAAATTTTTGTTTCTAAAGTATGAAATACATGACTATGACAGCTCTGTTACAAACATCATTACTACACTTGAGTTGAATGGTCATTTGTCCAGAACATATGCCACAAAGCTGTTTTTAAACTGCAAGAAAATAAATGACCAACCAGCTCATCCGCAACAGCTTTTTGAGGAAGCTAAGTTGTAGCATTTTATTGATGAGCTACAACTGCCCCAAAAAGACCCTTAAGGGCTAAGCATATATTTGATTTTATTTATTCATAGGAGGGTTCATACATACCTTTCATAAGCTTGCTGAATTATTTGTGGAACAATTTATTGCAAACTGGAGGATTGTTAATGATACTCCTCACTTTTCTGAGATTAATCAAAATGAGAGTCACTAAAAGATTATTTTCGATGCATTCTTTGATAGGGGGAAACCTTCACTGCATCCTAAAAGATCGTTCATTTCAACATCATGAGCATGATTGTATGGGCTTATCTTTCTATAGTTCATTTAGATATCAAGTCTATTAGAACCAATTCTAGACTAAGGGGCAAACTTCACTATAGACTCAAATGATTATTGACGTTAAAGTCGTGAACACGATTATGATGGGATAACATTGTTGCATTTCATTTAGACATCAAGTTTATGAGAACTAATTCTAGACTGGGGGGGCAACTTTCAGTATAACTTTGAGTGCACACTCATGTTAACATCTTAAACATGAGCATAACTAAGTTCCCGACATTCAATAAAATATTTTTAGCAATTCATTTTCTTCTTTGAATTTTCTTAATAAATTTTGTAGGTCAATGGAGCCTTTAGAAATTCTAGAGTTAGAGATGGAGTATTTCTAATTCTTCCAAAGAAAGACATATTGGAAGATGAGCTTTACCCAAAATCTTCTACAACGAATAAATCTCCATAACTTCTCAAGTGGAATGAGACTTAAGATATGTTTAGCGCAGCTTATCCACTGCATCTACGTTTTCAAAACACCACCTTGTTTTCTTCGTCTTCAGTGCGTTTTACGATAACTAGTTTTGTTTTGTAATAAACACTGGTCGCGGGTTCGACCCCGTAACCCACGTTTGGAGGAATTTTCTTACTTCTCTGCCCTCCTGTCGCGCTTGCCCTCATCCCATGCCCTAGGTGCCTCTTCGATCTTCTCCTCTGCCCTCATCCCGTGGCTTCGATTGCTAAATAAGTGATCCCTCTCACGCGCCTATTTAACGTGTCTCTCTCGATTGCTGTCTTTCTGCTCCTCTCTGCGCTCCGTGGTCATGGTACTCTGTAAGTAATGTCGTTGCCTTTATTGCGGTGATTTTCGATGGAATGGCTTTTCTGTGCATTTCTTTGGGTTTCGTCTTTGCTATGAGAAGTTTACAGTGCTTTGTGAGTAAAATCATGCTTTTTCTTGTGGTGAATTTTGAAGGAATGGCTTTTTTCTGTGATTTTATGGATTTCTCCTTTTTTAATACATTCTTTCTCAACAGTTGCCTTTGGTTAGGTTTTGGATGTTGGACTTGTGTGTTGGAATTAAATGTGTGTGTTGGTGGATTGTGACAGTTTCATGCTTGAGAGTGCTTTCTTCATTTTGTTTCTTTGATAAAAGAAATGTTTGATGAAGAGACTGGGAGAACAGGTGCTTTTGAATTTTCTCAAGCTTTAATTTTGCTACTTAATGTACGGTGGAAAAAAATAATGGTGTTGATATTTTCATTCTTCCTATATCAACATCATTATCATCAACACATTTTGGATTGAATTTTTTAACAGATTTTTGTTCTCTCTCTCTCTCTCTCTCTCTCTCTCTCTCTCTCTCTCTCTCTCTCTCTCTCTCTCTCTCTCTCTCTCTCTATATATATATATATAGTTAAGTGCCCTGAGGAAAGAAATCTAATGAGTCAATGATTACAAAATTTTGAGGTCATTTAGCCACTGAAATAATTTAAAAACTATTTATGATCAATGTGGTATCAACATGGACTGTCTGATCCTGTTGTTAGAAAAGTTATGCAACAAAAGATAAAAATGTCCATCTTTAAAGCCTATAATTATTCCCCCTCTTTTTATTTAGAGATGGAGGAGAATAGAAGAAAAAGTGAAATTCAAGAGTTTGTTCTAGAGTATTTCTTATTTTTTTAAGCAAGTCATTTTGGAATATAGGCTTTACCTAAAATATTCTACAATGAATAAATGTCCGTGACTTTTCAAGGGAAAGGAGACTTAATCAGAGTAGTGTTTCTTCTCTCCCACTAATTAAATCGGTCTATTTAATAGCAAAAATTTTGAAATAAAGTGGCATATTCAAAATTTTCAGGTTTTAATCCACAAAAGAACTTGCGAACATGGAGGTGCACAGGAATGGTTCCATGGTAGCACTACCCTATTCACGCAACTGCACACGACCACACGTCACGCCACCCACCATCGCTACAACTATCGACCACCACTATCCGACGATCACAGTCATCTTCAAACAGCATCTATCCAGCCTCTTCCATATCACTGCTACTCGACCACCACGAACACCAAGATTGACAATAATAACATGATAACTCTTTGAAGCACACATGACAACTTAAATCTATTGAGAGTTCAATGTTTGGAACTTCTGAAATTATTTTGAACACATTTTCAATACTAGTTACATATTTTTGAATGACACTAACAACATCATTTGAAAGAAAAAGAGCAACTGATATGTCATCGACAAATTTCTATAAAACACAAATCTCGACGAATTTTAAATAATAAAATTTAAAATTTCAAAATCACTCAAGCCCTCATTATTTCAGCAAAGTTGTATTCAAACTGACAGCTCGACAAGACGAACTGAACAATATCAAAATCAACTCAATTTTGGTCCAATCAATCCCATATCAAGTTGTTGAAGCATATTTAGAAGTTTTAGATTAATTTAATGATCAAATGAACTACAAATTTGACATATTTATAGTTGAATCAAGTGTTCCGATAAGAGAAATCGAGCAAGCCCAAGATTGCTAAATCTTAGGGTCATTTAGGCATTCAAATCATTAAAAAATTATCTATGATCAAGATGAATCAATATGAACTTTTCGATCGGGTGGTTAAAAAAATTACACAGCAAAAGATCAAAATACCCTTATCCAAAAATTATAAATAGTCCTCCTCTATTTACTCGTGAAATTCAAGAGTTTGTTCTGGAGAGAAGACCTTACGAATAACTACTGAACTCTATAGCCATTAAGCACCATCAACCATCGTCGACAATCATCGTCTGCCTTCGCTAACCACCAAGTGCCAGCAACCATTGCTTGCAAACATTGTAGTAAAAAAATGGTTGTTGTGTCTTACACTTATATATTTTTTTGTATATAAAGACAAATGTAATTTTCGGTATAAGATTGTAATCTTGTTTTTCCATGTCATGTGAGAAAGGCAGACATCTCTACTTACAAATACATTGTTGATTATTTTGATTGGGGTAGACATTATGTGTTTTTTCCTTTTCAGATTTTTCCACATAAAAGATCTATATTTTCTACTTTTATATGCGTGTGTTGGATCTTCATGCAACACTAACGCATTAAATAATCACTCTAATCCTATGAATTATTTCGGCAGGCAACAAATCTTTTAATTGGATTAATATTCTATTATATAAATGAGATGCATAATTGAGTATTCCACAATAAATTTTTTTTTAATTATATATATGATACATTTTCCCTATTTTGAAGATTAAATTAATGTCTTCTATTATTATTACTACTCTTGGAACCTAAAAAATGGGCAAAAGGTAAATGAACGATTAGAAAATGTTTATACATAAAATTTCTACTAGAATTTTTCGCTCCCTTTAAAATAATGAAAAGAAGGAAGAACGGGTTCAGAGCATCCTTCCGGAATAGGACAAATTTAAGTCTGCCAACTTAAATTAGAATCGGAAAAAAGGTCAAGTCAGTCGAAGCTAATTAAGTTGATTTTTTTCTATTTTTGGAACAACCAAAAGTAGATAACGTTTTCACCTTTATATTCAGTAATAATTTACTAATAATAAAATACAATTAATTAAATATGCAAAAACATAAATTACTAAAGGACGGTCATGAAAAGAGTAACCTGAATGAAGACAGTTGGGGAGAAGTAAATATCCGGTCCAACCCCCCCCCCGCCTTATCCGGAAAAAGCCGGCGGTTGCGGTCCACTTCCTTCCGGTCCAGCCACTCTTCCATCGTCAAATCACAGCACGCCTCCACAATTCTGACGCCGCCGTCGTTACACTTGATGTGCGGCCGGCCGGTCTCGTCGCGGCGAATTCTGCCGGCCGCCGGATAATAGATGTTCAGTAAGGGGAACATGGGTTTCTTGAGGGAAGGAATGGTTAGGCCCATCAAAACATCGCTTGGACGGAAATAGTATACGGATTTAAGATAGTGAAGCTTCAGGGCGAGATCGCCGCCGGTGAGATGGTGAACGGTGTTCGCCGGAGTGACGTCTCCGGGAACTACGGTGGAGAGGCGGATGCTGTGGATAGCGTCGGACAAGTTTGAGGAGACCATGGTGGGCGGTTATGGAGAAGCTGATGGATCTCAGAGCCTATTTATGGGGGTTGGGAGGGGATGGAAGCCCTTTCTGCGAGTTGCAGCAAGCAACCAAAAAAAATTCGGTTTTGATATTAATTTTCTTCGAATAATGTTTTAAAAATTATTAGATTTTAATTTTTATGATATTTATTTGTTGATTATATATATATATATATATATTGTGAAACATAGTTTTCTGATATGTTATGAATTAATGGGTGTTAGTTGATCATTTTGCTCGTAATTTTTTTTTTAAATCTAGAATTTATTATATTCTTAAAATTAAGAAGTCCTTCGGATATTGATTTCGTTTCCACACCATAAAAAAATTATTTATGAATTAAATTTTAATTTGTTTGATGATGATTAACTCTAATGTTAAACATAAAGAATACAGATATGATTAAATAATGTCTGTAAGTTTCTTTCTCTTACGTCTAAATTTATGTATATATTTCATCAATCAAATTTTTTTTATTCAAAATCATTGCATATATTGAAAATGTAATTATATTTCAAATAATTAGAGCCATTTTTAATATAAGCTTGGATGCATTTGATTGAAGTAATGATACTAAAAGTCTTGAAAATAATACAAGTCACTAGACTAAATGATATTAAGAAAATGGATAACTTTAATATTATAATTAAAAAAAAATAATATAAAATTGTATTATGGAAGATGATGATCATTTTCCTAGAATATATTCATATATAAACATACACACACATTAACATATAAATTTATAGGAGGATTCATTACACAACATACAAATAAAAGAAGAGTTGCAAGTGACATTAGTGTTTCAAAATGAAAAATCAGGAAAAGGAAAAAAAAATTTACTTGGTTGAAATAATATTACTAGTATATGTCATAAGTTAAATTAAATTGATGCACTTCGCCATATATGAAGGAGAGGTTGATATATTGTCCCATGAAGGACGCTAGAGAAGTTTAGAAGCCTTTTAATTTGTTTTCAAGAGATTACACGAGTAATGCTCAATTATCTTTCTTTGATGAGATGAGTTAAGTGATGAATTGATTAGTATCATCTTGGTCTATAGGGGTAAACTCTATCAGTGATTATACGTGTCGTTAGTATTGACGATGATAAGTGACAAGGAAGAAATAGGTTTATGTTGGTATCAATTACTAACATTAGACTAGTCAGTATTTTCTTACTTTAACGTTGTCCATCTGTCTCAAGGTAATAGGGTGCATAAATTAACAAAAAAAATAAGATGAGCCAACATCATGCACTAAACCTATAGATGATGGTGTGCATCAATAGCATGCATTAGGTTCATAAATGACGGCGGATGATAATGTTAGAGTGCATCGAATTTGGTGTCGATGGGCAATAAGTTTGGTGAGCCATGGTATCCAATTGGCCATTATTAAACACAACGATAGAAGATTGTAGTTAAAAAATGAAGATTAAGGCATATCTAGAAGATGGTGATTTGAGATAAAATTATGTAGGTTGACCAATAGTATATAATTGGTCACTAGAGATTATGTATGTCACAATTTAAGATAGCATAACCCTTACAACAAAGCAATTTAACTCATGTTGATAGACATTACTCGATATATTAGAAAAGAAATTTATTGTACATACCACATAGTTAAGCACCAATTATAATAGACATTTCTCAGTATCTCAGAAAGTAATATTATCATGATTACAAAAATATAACTACCAGCACTACGGGAAACTTGTGAATTTATGTTAATATTAGCATTGAAATTATTTTGACTGCAAAATTAGAGATTGATTAGTGCTCGTTTTGCATCGCCTGCGGTTCCACTTCAAAAATGACTGATGGAGACGAGTTGCGCCAAAAAGAAGATGCTAAATCGAGCATCCGTTATAGTCTATGCTAATATTTCTTATTATTGCCGGCATTAGTGCCGACGGAAAAGCCCTAAAATAGGTTCCTGCGAACTACAACTACACTTCATGCCCGAAATCCTCTCCTTATCCTCCAGGTTTCCTTCGTTACCTCCGAGATTTTTCAGCTATTCAAGGTCTGATTCACCGTTCCAACCCCGTCTAAAGTGAGAAATATTTTTTCACACGTCTAATGTTTGGTTTATCATAAGTTTTCATATTTTTTTTTTCCTTGGATGAGTGTTAGATAAGAAAATATAAAGGTTTTGCTCATATTTTTTTTCGTATTCCCTTGTTAGGTATGCAACGTATGGATTTCATGGTTTTTCAAAAGTTTAGTTGTGAGATATGTAAATACATAAGAAATTTGTTCTTTGTATATAAATATGAAAATTTAGGTGTGAGATATGTAAATCCTTAAGAAAATTGTGCCATGTATGTAAATATGAAAATATATGTATGAGAATTTAAATAATTAAGAAATTTGTGCTATGTAAATTTAGGGTGGATTTAGGCTAGTGTTGAGTGTAAGTTAATGGCTTGGTAATTTAATAGGTTAGTGGGTTGATTGGTTAGTTTTTGCGTTAATAGGTTAATTGGTTGATTCTCTGGATTTGTGTGCTTTGGGGTTCGGGTATGATATGTAGGTGGCATAAGGTTTCAATTATGATGTGTAGTTGGGCTAGGATTTAAATAAAAAATATGACACTCAGTAGAACACAATGACATTGTGCTAATATATAGAGCTACATTTATGGTACATATGGATATTAGATGAGTTAGATCATGGAAGTATAACAGATTATATTTAGAAAGAAAATGATTGACTGACGAGTTTTTGGTTGGTGTTGAAGATTTCGTGCATGTGGCATCACAGCTGCCAGTTTACATTTCAGAAAGTAGGTTATGATACCCCTGTGTGAAGCATAAGAATCAAGCATACCTGACACCTGAACAAGTGAAGTTGGACCTATACCATAAGGGGATTTAAACCGAGAAATGTCTAAAACATTCACTTTGAAGCATGAAAGAAAAAGTTCCTGGTTTAATTGTCACCAAAGGTTCTTAGAATGTGATCACCCGTTTGAGAGGAATAAAAAATTATTTTTCAAAAATAGAGTTGAAATTTTAAGTCCACCCCTAAGGATTAGTAGAAGCGATATATTGCAGATGATCAGTGAAGTTACAAAGTTCACTAATAGGCTAGAATTATCCTTAAGTCATCTTTCAAATTATGCCGTTACACACAATTGTATGAAGCTGAGTATTTTCTTAGATCTTCCATAATGAAAAACTAATTTTGGACACAATTTTAGGGGGGTTGTCTTGTGAAAGCGGTCGGTCTTCCGGATGGAAATCCCGTCTCCTACTTCGGAGGGACATTTAATTTATATACATATATGTATATATATAAGTTTAGAAAAATATAAAATTAAACTGATCTCATATCTTTCAAAGTTTAGTTAAAATAGCACTACACCTCAAGCTATATATCTATCCCGAATGATAAACACAAGACTTGAGGGTGAGGCTTGATCAAACAAATTAAGAAATATATGACATCCGTTTAGCCTACGAAACCATTTTGTTATAAGCTGACAAGTTCCCCTATTTAATATGAAAAATTAAATAGGATTTATATTAAGCTGAGTTCGGAAAAGCTTCTTATAAGGGCAAACCCCTATAGTTAATTACATCCTAGATGACCGAAAACACCTAAAAAAACTCTCGATAAAATCAGGGGATACTATATTCAAGGAGTTCTAAGGAATATGAATTTTCAATGAGATCAAACAAAGATGTGTGATATGGGAAATGCTCAAATTTAGAACATATTATTTTTGGAATAAAAAAGAAGAAGAACGAGAGGATGTCACGGATCCTGAGAAGAACCTTGGTGACTTCCCAACCTAACCTGCTATTGACTTCAATGTAGAGGAGAAATATTTAAGTGTTTCATCTTACCAATTTTATTAATTCGAGCTAACATTCGTGTGAAACGATCACACAAATAGCCGGGAAGATGTGAGGATTTAGGTCATAACGAACGAAAACCTCAATCCTAAGATAATTTAGGGCTTATATTATATAACAAGGCTATACAAAGGCCTAAAGATAAGTTGAGGATTTATGTTGCATAAGCAAAAGACCTCGAAGTCCTATGGATTATTGTTTAATTCTAAGGAATGGTTTAGCTGGTGTAGACATGTTTTGCTGTTAAAGATGGTCGTGCTGCCCACAATGCTAGCTCCAAGCTTTCGTTGTAGCAAGTTTAAGTTTTCTAATGCGTCAAGTCATGATGTAAAATCAAATATTTCCTATGGTTATGGGTATTTTAAATATTATGTGGGATATTAAAGATTATTAGAGCGACACCGATTAGGATCCTATGATTCCCTCAGTCCGACATCACTATTTTCTTTTAGATTCACTTAGTCCAAATGAATTTACTAAACTCAACTTAATGAGTTCCATACTTTCATTTAGACCATGGGAAATCTCGTTAGCAACCGTAGGTTATCTCGCCCGAGGGATTTCCTATCATCCGATAGAGAAGTTTTAATTTAGTTGCAATTTTTGTTTTGTTTTGTTTTTGATTAAATTTTGAGTTGTCTTATATTTTTAATGTTGTGGCGGTGAATTTTATCTTGTTCAAGTTTAGTTTTGGTTTCAGTTTGGTGGCTATTCTAAAAGTTTTGGTTTTGGCATGTAGGATGACATAATTGTTTAACATGCAAGTTCACGAGCAGGAAAAGAACAGTAAAGAAAGTGCAGAAATTAAAATATGCTGGTAGGAAAAATAGAAAGTACAAGTCTAAGGTATGTCTACTAGATCCTATGTCATATCTTAGTGGGTCCTATTTATTTAAGTGTATAAATGGTTTCTTAAGCAAGTCATAATGAGTTTTAATCATCCTTCAAGGCATCGAAAAGAGTATGAGAAAGGTCCAGGGACCGGGCCCCAGATATCTCACAATCTCTTAAAAAAGTCTCAAGCTCGTTCAAACTCATTAGGTTGTTTACTAACTCATCCTTATCATACCATTATGCTCAATGAACTGATGTTCTAGCCAACCTTAAGGATGGGGTAATTATCACTTGATGTTTTATTTATAAATTATATAGGTAAAGACCCTTGTGGGCAAATTGACCTAAT